TCAAAGGTAAACATTATAAATTAATTCAACAATGTATTCCCGATAAACCATGGTTTTCTAAAATTCATTTAAGTAAGTCTGCCACGTCTTTATCAAGTCTCATAAGAATGTGCCTAGGTCATAACTGTTCTTGTTCCCATCTGGCTAAGCTGGGCATAGTAAATAAATATATTTGTGCTTGTGGTACTGGAGCAGAAGACTTAAATCACATCTTCTTCGAGTGTCCCCTCAATGATTCCGCCTCTTTTATTAATTCATTAATATCCCTTAATGTACCTCTCCCTACTTCTATTCCTTCCTTATTGTACTATAAAAATTATAATATATATAACAAGCTATCTGAATTCCTAACTAAACATAATATAAAATTATAAATAATTTATAACAAATAATGTAATGTATTTTATATACTTAAATAGACCTATTACTTACGTTTCAAATTAATTTTACATACCTACCTGATCCTAATCCTTCCAAATTCCGTTTCACAACCATTTTATTTCATTATTTTGGTTTCCTTACCTTTTACCCTGCCGTGGCCAATGCACAAACCGTGCGAGCCATTATAATAATAATAAAAAAAAAACAATTTATAAGTAACTATGCAATCGTTCGAGCGTCCACAAACATAAAAGTTAGGAATGGGATATAAAAAGAAGGAACGATATTTGAATGAACACTTCTTGATGTATGAAATGTTTGATTATAATGAAATCAAAAAGTTTCTAAAATCATCTATCAGAAAGTTTATTTATATCTTTAGTACTTATGATATTTAAACATAAGTTAAAATAAATTTAAATAATATTTTCGTTTTCTTTGCATTCTTTTTTTATTATTATAGTCCTAATAATTTCTTGTGCGACATGCACAAGTAAATTCTGACTTTTCATTCAATAAAAATACTTACATATGGTAGGTAACACCCTGTTTCCCCAAATTTGATGTGGTAGGGTTTTTGTAAAATAAAACAACACAATTTACCATATTTTTAGGAGCTGTCTCCACGTTTCGTTTACTCTCAAAATACCATCGCGTACAAGTTTAGCTGAGCGACTATCGCTGAGCGAGTATCGCTGATCGAGTACCGCTGAGCGAGTACCGCTGAGCGAGTACCGCTGAGCGAGTATCGCTATGCGAGTTTGGCTGAGCGAGTCTTATCTTTAATAGCTATTGTCACTCAGCTACAAACGAGTAGAGAGAGTTCTCGCCGGCGACAGTGTGATCATTCAGCTATCAACTATTAATATAAAAAAAGATGGCGCGTAACGGAAAAATGTGACGCGTAACGTACGAAAAATGTGACGTTAAATTTTTTTCCAACATCATCATCATCAAGTTTCACTTCAACAACCTAAAAAGGTAAAAAAAGGTAAAAAATCTATGTACTAATTCTATAAGTAATACTTACAGATCCTACTTACATCTTAAGTACATAGTCAAATAATTAGGCCATGACCCACCACGCAGGCCCAGTGCGGATTGGCGGGTGCTAACGACCGCAGATGCAGCCGGGAGAACGAGGAACTCGACATAGAACATGTTTGGTCACCCATCCAATGACCGACCACTGCGAAAGTTGCTTAACTTCAACGATCACAGCCGAACGAGCTAATCGTCTGCGCCATCGAACTTCTCTAGTTAACGAATATAAAATAATTTATTTTACATGGATTATGTCCATAATATAACATTCACGCTATTTATACGCTATATGCTCGGTTGTCATGCAGTAACCGACTGACAACCGAGCAACAAATGAAACAACGCTCGGAAAAAACTTGGTCCCGCCTCGGCTCGGCCACGGCCCGTTGCATGAATACAGTGCCGGCGCGGTGCCACCGGGCAATCGTAGTGATACATCAGACAAAACAATAAACGTTTTTGCTCGGACGAGTACACTTACCCTATTTACTTCATCTGAATGATTAGACTGCATCACGGCGCAGTGGTACCTACCTAATTGCTCGTTCGATGCACTATGCGCTAGCATCACTATATAGTTTGTGGATGCACTTCTTTGTATTTTTTTTCGTCACATCGTTTAGCCCAAGTAAATACTTGGCTTTTTCAAAGAAAAAATATGATTCCTTAAGTTCTCCCCGCAGATTACATTTCTCCAAGTTCTTATTTTTCCCCAAAATAAGGATAAACACTCCCAATCTAGAAACCCTAAGTACCACAGAGTAGGCAAGTATTTACTCTTTAATATTATTGATTCATAATTTCTCATACAGTAAAATAAGAAAGTTATGTTAAGTTTTCATATTTTAAAGATGATGAAGAACAACAAAGATTTACTTAAATAAAATAAAAAAATAAGTCAAAATCACTGAATAATAAGTAATTATTGCTAATTTGAGTAAACCGATAATTACCGGTTCAATGCTTTTACATAATCTGTGAATTCAATTTAGATGCTCGTTTACAGCTTTGACAGCTGTAAACTGTCAACTGTTCTCTTAATTTAGTTAGTTAGCAATTTCAGAATACCAATTCTCTAACCCTAAACTAAAATTAGCACTCTAATTTTAAGTTTAGGTTTAGAGAATGTAACACCAGAATTGGTCCCACTGTATATTTCTCGCGCTTGTTTTCTGAGTCTGAATCTAAATCTGAATCTGAATCTGAGTGCACTCTGGCCGGGGTGCGGCCAGAGTGCACTCAGATTCAGATTCAGATCCAGATTTCGAAAACAAGCGCGAGAAATAAACAGTGTAGTCGAAGGGTACGGCCAGAGTGCACTCCTCCTCCATCCTCCATTGGTATATGCTCTAAGTCAAATCCTTATGCACTCCATATAAAAATTCGAATCTACCTTTGATTGATATCATTAAATCAAATGAAAACGAGAGACTGTTGTCATAATGTTATCTATTTGAATATCTATATATATCTTATCTATTGTAATCGTTTCTTACAAGATTTAATTTTTGTAATGAAAATATAACTAGAAAAAAATCCACGCGGATCAGGCAGCAGACGGGAATCGAACCCGCACCCTTCGCTATCCGAGCGAATGTACTGACCAATTATGCTACTGCGGCCCTGATGGCCGCGTCGAAATTCTTCTAGCCATTTTTAAGCTGCAAGGCAGCACCCCGGCCAGAGTGCACTCAGATTCAGACTCAGAAAACAAGCGCGAGAAATAAACAGTGTAGTCGAAGGGTACGGCCAGAGTGCACTCCTGATTCAGATTCAGATTCAGACTCAGAAAACAAAGCGCAAGAAAAAGCAGGCAACCTGCTTAGACTACACTGTTTATTTCTCGCGCTTGTTTTCGAAATCTGAATCTGAATCTGAGTGTACTCTGGCCGCACCCGCGTGTGGCGTGTGCGTTTTTTGTTGAAGTTGTCCCGTTTTAGGGAAGGCAAAGGGAACAATGACCATACAGCCTAGTCTTTAATTAAATTAATCTTGTTTTTGTTTTTACATTAGAATGTCGGTGTGACTCATTCTAATGTTTCTTGGAGTGTTTGGCACGAAATGTTTCGAGTTGGCTTTTTCGATAAGCTTCTGTGAGGTAGTCAATACTACAATAAAATTCTCACGTCCACTTGACCGGAATAGCGTATATTTTGACGATTCTACTAATTCTTCAGTTACGCAGACAGTTGTAACACAAAATTACACCAATTTTATTTCACAATATCCACTATGAACGAATTTAAGAATAATTAAAATAAGACGCTAACCGCATTCGATGAAATCCCGCCAAAAACTCGCGTTTTTTGTTTGTGTGGTGTTATTTTTGAAGTGTGCGTTTACAGCAAAAGCTAGCTTGTGTAATTTGTGCGCATATTGCTTATTTTTGTAAGTACGCTGTACATGTGACATGCAATAAATGAATAAATAAAGAATTAGTGAATAAATAAATAAATGTGTACCTCGTCCCCCAGAAAAATGGTGAAAAAAATTGTTCGGCGATTGAACGTTATGGCATCTCCATTGGTATATGCTCTAAGTCAAATCCTTATGCACTCCATATAAAAATTCGAATCTACCTTTGATTGATATCATTAAATCAAATGAAAACGAGAGACTGTTGTCATAATGTTATCTATTTGAATATCTATATATATCTTATCTATTGTAATCGTTTCTTACAAGATTTAATTTTTGTAAAGAAAATATAACTAGAAAAAATTCCACGCGGATCAGGCAGCAGACGGGAATCGAACCCGCACCCTTCGCTATCCGAGCGAATGTACTGACCAATTATGCTACTGCGGCCCTGATGGCCGCGTCGAAATTCTTCTAGCCATTTTTAAGCTGCAAGGCAGCGCCATTTCTTCGCATTGTAGGTAACTCAAAATTTTTCGTTAGATGTTTTTTTTTCGTTTGTACATTTTGTTTCTCGGAAGTTTATGGAGTGTGCGGTTGGCGTATAATTTTAATTATTCTTAAATTCGTTCATAGTGGATATTGTGAATTAAAATTGGTGTGATTTTGTGTCAAAACCGTCTGCGCAACTGAAGAATTAGTGGAATCTTTAAAATATACACTATTCCGATCAAGTGGACGTGAGAACTTTATTGTCGTGTTGACTATCTCACAGAAGCATATATATATAAATATATAATATATTTCTATATAAAAAAAAAGAAATTGGCGGGATTTCATCGAGTGCGGCTGGCGTATTAATTTAATTATTCTTAAATTCGTTAATAGTGGATATTGTTAAATATAATTGGTGTGATTTTGTGTTAAAAACGTCTGCGCAACTGAAGAATTAGTGGAATCTTTAAAATAAACGCTATTCTGGTCAAGTGGACGTGAGAACTTTATTGTACTGTTGTAACTACCTCACGGAAGCTTATCGAAAAAGCCAACTCGATGCATTTCGTGTCAAACACGCCATAAAATTAGATTGCGGGACACCGACATTCTAATAATAAAAAAATATATTTATATAACTAAAAACTTGGTTCTCTAGGCATTGTTCCCATTGCCTTCCCTAAAAAGGGAGATCTTAAAAAAAAATTGGTCTCAATGTCTCGGTCTCGTCCATCTATCCTGTCATCAACTTCTGTTCTGTCTGCTTTCTAACAAAGTACCTTTGTTTATTGTTTGGGTATCCTTAAGCAAAGGAATTTAGTAATGAATCATTTAATAAAATGATTAATGAATACCTAAAGCGGACATCTTACGACAACGATGGACGATTTGTATATTGCAGTCGTGTGTTCTTCAAATATGAATCGCAGCATGGAAGCTCACGCGTTTCTTGTGAAAAAAGGATTTAAAGTTAAATCATTCGGAACAGGTGAAAAGGTTAAATTGCCCGGAGCATCTGCGGATCGTCCGAATTGTTATGATTTTGGTATACCATATGATGATATATATAACGACTTAATGGAAAAGGACAAGGGATACTACACTCAGAATGGTTTACTGCACATGCTTGACAGAAATAGAAGAATTAAGCCATGTCCGGAAAAGTTCCAAGTATCTACAGAGCGATTTGATGTTATAGTAACATGTGAAGAGAGAGTATATGACCAGGTTGTCGAATGGTTTGGCTCTCGCAGATCTGTTCATAATCAACCAGTGCATGTGATAAATATAGATATTCAAGATAATCATGAAGAGGCCACAATCGGGGCTTTTTTGATTAGTGACATGGTTACTAAAATGGCACAAAGTGAAGATTTGGACAATGATATTGACGAGTTGTTACATGATTTTGAAGGAAAATGTCAAAGACCAATTTTAAATTGTATTATGTTTTATTGATACATAATTTACAACATAAACCAATACATAAATTTAGATGAAATAGAAGTATTGTGTTTGATATTAAATTACATTTAAATTGTACTCATAGGTGTCTTCTATTACACATTGGAGATTCTGCTATTGCTTGTGTTGTTTGATGGACTTGATATGTTAACATGAAACATTATTAATGTTTAATAATAACAATACATGAAATTTTTCAACATATTTTGTTAGAAAAAAATTATAAATACATATTTGATGACCTTGCGTGATTGGCAGATTTATTTTTCAAATATTGGCCTCTAGTTTATGGGCAGGCTGAATCATTTTTGATAAATTGGCAAGGATAAATTTCATAGAATACAGATAAAAAACCTTTATTTTGGAACAATCTTTTCTTTTCATTCTTTAAAGCACAAGATAATGGTTTTGATTCTGGCATGATTTTCTAAACTTAATTTAATGTGAGTCTCCTCTTTTCATTCTGTGCAAAGAATAACAAAGACATAGTGTCCGTGATGCTAGCGTACCCACGATCAATATACGGTTTTTCGTTATGCTATTAAATACTGCGTAAATAGTGCCAAATTAGTGTAAAAATAAAAAAAATAGTGCCTCTTTAATTTAAGAAATAAAGACCATTTTATCATGTACGCTACCATGACGTCAAGCTAGCGTACCCATGGCTGACCCCAAGAACGGCATATATTTAAGCAACGAAATTGACACACAAAAATAGTTCGCAAATAGTGCCCTGGCTTTACAAAATTTCATAATCAATACTCTTAAAGTACCAAAGATATTGAACTAAACATTCTATACCCACCCACAATAGTTCTCATAGAAAATGAACTTTTATCGTTATCAATTCTATATGTATAAATAGTGTGTCAAATAGTGACTCTAACAGTAAAAGTATTTTATGTGAATTCACAGTAAAACAATATAAAAAAAGCAATTCAATTATTTTTATATATAAAGTACAGTCATGTACTACACGTAATATTTTCGTAGTATAGTAGGTAAGTAAGGTACTTAGAAGGTAGGTTGAAATTCTTATATGAATTTATGATTGGTGAATTCGAATTGAAATATTTTTTTTTTTTTAAAAAGTACCTATTTTAGTTAAAATACTATATAGATAATCTCTTAGTGCATAAATAATTTTGTGTGCAACTGTACTACAATACATTTGTTCCTAAAATTTAGCATTTTCTTTATGCATTGTTGTGATGCGGATTCACTTAAAATACTTTTACTGTTAGAGGCACTATTTGACACTCTATTTATACATATAGAATTGATAACGATAAAAGTTCATTTTCTATGAGAACTATTATGGGTACGCCAGGTTGACGCCAGCTAAGAATGTTTAGTTCATTATCTTTGGTACTTTAAGAGTATTGATTATGAAATTTTGTAAAGCCAGGGCACTATTTGCGAACTATTTTTGTGTGTCAATTTCGTTGCTTAAATATATGCCGTTCTTGGGGTCGGCCATGGGTACGCTAGCTTGACGTCATGGTAGCGTACACAGTAAAAATGGTCTTTATTCCTTAAATTAAAGAGGCACTATTTTTTTTATTTTTTCACTAATTTGGCACTATTTACGCAGTATTTAATGGCATAACGAAAAACCGTATATTGATCGTGGGTACGCTAGCATCACGGACACGAGACATACTATTGTAAAATTTATGCCAGATGAATGAATGACTGTTCCTAGTTGTGCTGTGAAATGACGTGAATTCGCGCCGTGAATAGGATATTTGACATGTTTTAGAAAATGCTCCCACGTAATTTAGATTTGGATACCATAAAAAATGTGTCTGTCACAGTGTTTCCACAATGAGGGGAAATTCCCCTTTTAAGGGGAAATTAGGGTCCAGAGGGGAAGAAAAAGGGGAAAGACATGAAAAGGGGAAATTATGGGTAAAGCCTAGCCTAAAATAATGCGGCACGGAATAAATTTTTTTATGGAACGATACCGTGGACTAGAGTGGTGCCGTATAGAAGAAATTGTGGTAACACGTGCAGATTTTATATATTTTATTTATCTCTTATAGAATAAGAAGATAGATTAAGACCTTTTTTTTCTTTAGTTACTACACTAGTGCCAAATCTAAAAACTACAGCAGAATAATTTTTGAGGGGAAAAATGTCCTATGAAGGGGAAATCTTAATTGAGGCGTGGGGAAAGGAAATCATTAAAGTGGAAACACTGGTCTGTCATGCCAGCGAACACTGCATCGAAATCGAGGCAGTTACTTATGGTATTAAATAGTGCCTAAGGGTGCGGCCAGAGTGCACTCAGATTCAGATTCCGAAAACAAGCGCGAGAAATAAACAGTGTAGTCGAAGGGTACGGCCAGAGTGCACTCCTGATTCAGACTCAGAAAACAAAGCGCGAGAAAAAGCAGGCAACGGGTGCGGCCAGAGTGCACTCAGATTCAGATTCTGAAAACAAGCGCGAGAAATAAACAGTGTAGTCTAAGCAGGTTGCCTGCTTTTTCTCGCGCTTTGTTTTCTGAGTCTGAATCTGAATCAGGAGTGCACTCTGGCCGTACCCTTCGACTACACTGTTTATTTCTCGCGCTTGTTTTCGGAATCTGAATCTGAGTGCAATCTGGCCGCACCCTAATAGGGTATTTGACAGTGTTAAAAATAAAGTGCCAATTGTTGGCATCTGTGTTTAGAATGAATATTGGTAGGGGTTTTACTATTTTTACAAAAAAAAATCATAATTTTACTAAAAACTAATGGTAGCCATACACACTACGAGAAATCGTTACGATCAGACTGTACAGTTCGAACGGGACAGTTTATCGTACGTGGCGTACGTATAGGAAACTGTGCAGTTTTATAACATACACGCTACGATTTTTCGGTACCGTTCGGACGGTACAGTCTAATCGTAACGATTTCTCGTAGTGTGTATGGCTACCATAACGAAAAAGATAATATTTTTCTTATCTCTTGTCACGTGACTCAAAACGCTTGGGATTGGCGGAGCCTAAAATGACGTCACACGCAAGTAAACTTCCGGTCACAGTGACATTACATTGTATCGTTTGACGTTTAATAACAGTCGTGTGACGTCACACACTAGTAAGACACCATATTGCACAGAGAAACGTTTTCGCGGCAACTTGAAAATGGAGTTTTTTATTTGGTTATTTTCGCTGAAATACACAACAGAATGATGAATATCCACTTCTATCTTTTTACGGACTCCATAAACATTAAACCAACAACGTGAGATCGTTTTCTAGTGCAATAATAAAAAAAACTTGCACTTTAGTTTAGAAAATAATAACTGTTTTCATGGTGTACGCTAGCGTACACCAGGCCATTCTCGAAAACGGCTTATTGCTATGCAGCCAAATTTTCAAAGAAATTAGTGCCCACACTATGCACAAAAATCGTAGCTAGCTTATATGGGAAAACTAGAGTAAGTATTTTTTATAATTATTGTACTAATTAGGCACTATTTAATAGCATAAGTAACAACCTCGATCTCGATTTGTGTGCGATGGCATGACGGCCACATAAAAAAGGATACTCATTATTCTGTCGTGTATTTCAAAAAACAAGAACATTTCATTGTCCAGTTCCCGGGAAAACGTTTCTCTGGGTCTGAGGCCCAATCGCCTAACGGGATTGCTAAGGCCACAGAGTATTTTTATACGGCTATCGGTATAGCTTACGATTTCATTTTGATATTTCTGACCACTGAAGGTTTTGAAATGCCTAGCACTCTTTTTATTTCTTTTGCATTTTAAACAACGATATTAAAGAAAATGAGCGTGTGGTTTTTGAAAACATTCAGCGGTCAGAAATAACAAAATGAAATCGTGAGCAATAGCCTTACTTATATCCATATGCCTTATGCCTAAACAGTAGGACACGGCATTCCTAAACTTAAACATTGTTTAATCAGTTTTTTATATTAAAGACATATTTTTTATAACATTTACATCTTTAATAGAAAGAGACTTCATGAGTTATCTCATATTGAAGTCATTTCAATGTGAGATAACTCATGAATAATGATAATGTATTTCTGTTTAAAATACAGGGAGAAAAAACAGCCCCTGCCGAGTTTCTTGTCGGTTCTTCTCAGTACAAGGTCTCCCGCCGTAGTTTTGCGAACCGATGGCGTAGCTTTTCGACATTCACAAGTATATTTGTTTCTTAGGTTTTCACGCACATCACTCATTAAATAAAACTAGTTTAAACGGGATAATGCACGAAACTTTATTTATTTATTGACGTTTCGTCGCCTTTCCAGGCTTCGTCGTCAGAATAAAACTTTTGTTTTTTGTTTTCTAAGTTTCATACAAGTGCAAATCACATATGTTCTAATAAATTATATTCAGTAGCGATTTTAATTGAATATTTTGATTATTTATTTATTTTTTCAAATTAATACTGAACTTTATTGACTTCGTCCTTTTCCTGACTTTTTATTAATTTATTGTAATTAATTATTTGCATGCAATTAAAAACTAATTTTAAACGATGCCAAAGAAGGATAACTTCTCACGCGCCTACATAAGTACACGCACCCATTTTTTTTTAATTTCATAGCAATCATGTTAGGTGATTGGCCCCCTGGACTGGACTGGGCACCCACTGTTATGAGACGTGATACGACTGTAAATTAACCCCCGCGACAGCGACACAATAGCGATCCTTATCCTTAATGACGGCGCCAGGCAGGTGATCACATAAGCGTTCACATGTGTGGTACGGGTAGTGGGTTATAACCCATTTGACCCGATCGGGTTATAACTGGGTTGTTTGGGTTATAACCCATTATCACACATTTTAGTGGGTGAAAATAAAAAAAGTATTTTATTTTGAAATTGAGAATTTGTATTTGAAGTTGGGATGTAAAATGAAAATCTGAATGCAAAAAAGAACATTTATTTTTAAAAATCATAATTTATTCATCATCACTGTCAGTAGATAGTCTATCGCAATCTAGAAATTCAACGTTACTAATTCCGGACGTAGATGGCTGAGGGCTAGCAGCGCGCGGTGTACTAAACGTTGATGACGGTAACTCAGTCATGCAATCTTCAGCATTATCACTGGAATCTTCCACATGTTTGTGCAACAAGTTCCAATTGTATGTCAAAAATGTTAATTTTTCTGCTCTTTCTGTTTTGAGTCTATTTCGCTTTTTATTGTGTATATTGCTGTGAGCACTAAATGAACGCTCTACAGCCGCGGAAGTGCAAGGTGCTGTAAGAATTCTAACGGCAACTTTACTTAATGCCGTAGATCCGCACATTCCTTTCCACCAAGTTATTGCAGATATGTTGTTTATGCCATCCCAGAGAAATGCTCGACTCCAAAAACCATCTCTTGCTCGGTAAGAGGCCAGGTTTTCTTTTACATTTAAGCCGATGGATTGTCTAACTTCACAAATGAATTCCATGGCATGTTCTTGATTTTCATCAAGTTCAGATCCCTAATGTAGAGGGTCTAATAAGTAAGCCGCAAAATGGATAGGCTTAAGGC